ACAGTGACACACTGACCCACAGACACACAACATACAGATACTGACAGACATATAACACAGTGACACACTGACCCACAGACACACAACATACAGATGCTGACAGACATATAACACAGCCACACACTGACCCACAGACACTGACACACACATAGACACTGATAGACTCACTGACAAACAGCACACAGAGAGGCACATGAACACACATGCACACACAAACTCTCACTCACATACAGACATACAAATACACACATGCCTATGCAGACGGATGGACACACATAGACACACACACACATATGCACGCACGCACTGCACACACGTCCTTCATTCATGTTTCAGTGCCTCAACTTCTCCCAGAACATGCGCCTCCCATCTCTACTTGACCCTCACAGGGCGGCTGAGCGCCGTATGAAGCTCCAGAGTTTAAGCCAGGGATTTTCTCCTTTCCATTTCTTTCCAATATTGGAGGGGGGAGGGCGGTGAACCTAGGACCTCACACATACTAGGCAGGCACCCTGCCACTTTACAGCTCCATTTTGTTTATTTTGAGACAGGGTCTCGTTAAATCGCTGAGGCTGATCTCGAATTCACTCTGTAGTTGCCCTTGGCCTTGGGATCTTCCTGCCTCAGCCTCCTGACCAGTGGACAAGTTTATGTCTGTTTGTGGAGGTCACAGGTCAACCTGAGCTATCTTTAATTACCCTCCACCTTATTTGGGTAACAGGAGTTCTCATTACCCTGGAGCTCACTGAGTAGGTCAGGCTGGCCAGCCAGCTAGCCCCACGGTCCCTCCGCTTCATTAGCTTTAGGGATCCAGACACGTGACCCAGGCCCTGCTTTACATGGGTGCTGACTATCTGAACTTGGGTCCCTGTGCTTGTGTGGCAAGCTCCCCCGGCCCCAATTCACAACCCTGGCAGAAGGACTCGGTGGGGAAGGACATGGGAACGTTGGCTCCGAATCTTCATATTCCAGTTATTCATGGCAAGCCTCATCCCTCATTGCCACAGATAAATAAAACATCAGCTCAGAGTTCAACTTGGCAAGTGGGAGAAGGCAAAGAATGGATCTTTGAGGCAAAATGTGGGTGGTGTCTATTTGCAGCTCGTGTTTGCTTTAAAAAGCCGGGCAGGCAGAATGCACAGTACTGAACGGCAGAGGCACCGGGGACCTGGGTATCCCTACCACACACTGCTCAGTGGCCAACAGACCTTCTGCACTTGCTGTGAGGGGATGCAGGGAAAGGAAGCACAGGGTGAGAGACAAGCCAAGGCATGGATGTCATCTGAGGCCGCTGTCCCCAGGAGCATTTTGCAGTGGCTCCTTGGGGACTGTTAAGCTCATGTGGAAGGAACACTGAGCTGTGTGGGTCCTGTGTCTGCTCTTTGTCTCCAGCTAGAACTGCCCCAAACCCAGGTCTAGAACTTTGGCATTTTCAGTTCAAACCCCACCCTTCTATTAGCTTCTGCCTTGACTCGTGTGTGTGAGTGTGTGTGTGTGTGTGTGTGTGTGTGTGTGTGAGTGTGTGTGTGTGTATGTGTGTGTGTGTGTGTGTGTGTGGTGTGTGTGTAGACTAGAGCACAACCTTGAGTATTGTCCCTAAGGTGCCATGCACTGGCCTAGAGCTCACTAAGTAGGCTAGCCTGTTGGCCAGTGAGCCCCGGGGATCAGCCCGCCTCTGTCTCCCCAGTGCTGGGATTATAAACATGCCGTGACACCTGCCTTTTTATCACGGGTTCTGGAGATCAAACTCAGGGTCTCACGCTCATGCAGCAGTCACTTTGCCCACGGAGTCCTTTCTCCTTCTGCCTGTGCTGTCTTGTGGTCCCTATTAGGGGCTCCTCTAGAACACGGAGGGCCTGCAACATCTGGGGAGCGATGACGTGAGAGCCAGGAGCCAAAGGGAACACAGGGCAACAGAGGAGGGATTAAAGCGGCCAGGCTGCCAGAGGTGAGCAGAGCAGATTAGAAGCAGGGCCTGACTCCATCCTAAGGACTGGGTTTTCCTTGGGTGGGAGCCAGATCTGAACATTGTCTTTCAGAGCCGTGATTTGGGGGCGTCAGCTGCACACGGCTTGTGCCCGTGATGGGCAGCTTCCACAAAGGTCTTAGGAAAACCCACATCCAGCCTGACGCTGCAAGACCGGCTGCCGAACGCTCAGCCAAGAGTGCTGACCGGGGACAAGCAAGCAGAACCTGAGCTCACAGCACCGAAGGGACAGAGCCTTGAGGACAGCTGTGTTCTGATCACACCGCAGCAGCCACCGCAGCAGCAGGATGGGAAAACAACAGAGAGGAAAACCAATGAGAAGCCTGGATGCCTCTGTGGAAAATCCCAGCAAGGCTCTTGAGCACCAGCCAGGCTCATCCCATGGCTGTTCACACTTGGTGGAGAGGAGCCTCCGGGGAGGATTTAGGACCAAACAGCTCCCGGGTGTGCTCATGAGAATGGGAGCGTGTTTGTTGCTAGAGCAAGTCCGGGGCCAAGGTCTTCAGGAGTTAAATTTCTCCGACAAAAACAAGGCAAGGACAGAAGGGCTGATTTCAGCTCGGAGCTGGAGGTGCAGTCCATCAAGGTGGGAGAGATGCGGTGGCAGGGGTGTGGAGCCGTTGGTACAATAATCGGCGTTTCCTGTCTCCGGGATGAATGGCGGCAAAATCTGCACACACTGTAGCTGCAGCTGCTAGTATGGGCTTGCTCGGTGGCAGCCCTGCCTCCCTCTGCATGTATGCAGCCATGCATCGCTCTGGGTCACATCTAGGTATTCCCTGCATGTATCCTACTCATTCCATTGTGCTGTTTCTAGTCTATGCAGCATACTGAATCTACTATGTGCTGTGTTGGAGCTCAGAGCCAAGTACGTGATATCGGATCCTTCTACTCAAGGAAAGCATAGCCAGTGAGAGAAGAGGTGCCTGAATGAAATCACCAAGTGCTAGTTTCTGTTTTTATTGTTGGGGTTTTTCAAGACAGGGTTTCTCTGCATAACAGCTCTGGCTGTCCTGGAACTCACTCTGTAGACCAGGCTGGCCTGGAACTCACAGAGATCCGCCTGGCTCTGCCTCCCGAGGGCTGGGATTAAAGGCGTGCACCACCACCGCCCGGCAACATGCTAGTTTTCAATTGTTAACTTGCCACAACCTAGAATCACCCGAGAAGAGAGGGTGATCTGAGGAATTTTCCAGATCAGTTTGACTTGTGGGCATGTGTTGTGTAACAGTCTCCTCCCAGATTAAAACATTCCATCCCGTAGGGAAGCTCCTTAAACAGGAAGGTAAACAACTTCAAAATAGCTTCAGAAAGTCCCTGAAACCGACCAGATTTGTTATGCCCCTCCCTGCCAGAGTAAAAAATAAAAATGGAGAACGCTTTTCTGAGGATCTCCGCCAAGCTGCGAAGAGGACTCTGAAGCCAGACCAGCTGCCAGGGAGAGGTTTAGACCAACTGAGGAGCCTGAAAAGGCCGCTGTCCAAGCTGCTGAGCTGCGTGCCGGCTGGGCAGTGTACTCCAGGTTCCAAGATTTGTGAGCTGTCACCTGTGCTGGGGTGGGCTTTGGCGATGCAGCTGTCTTTGAAGCATTTCTGCTCCTGTAAGTAACCCCTCACCCATATTCCTGTGAGTAGCTCCCACAAAACCCACTGGCTCACCAAGTTGGACTTTGGCGGTATTCACACTACGATCTGTCATGGGTTCCCTACTTGGGGTGGGTCGACATGTGTGTTTCATCTTATCGGGAAAAGTTTCGTCACACAAGAGCATGTCTGTGAGGACTTGTCTCGGTAGTTAAATGATAGAAAAAAGACTCAGCCCAATGTGGGTGGCGCCGTTCCCTAGCCAGGGTGGCGGTGGCGTCCTGAACGATGGAAGAGATGGAAGAAGCTAGGCAAGAGTAAGCGAGCACAGACTCGCTCATTTCTCTGAGCCCCCCACCTCAGACAGACACGATACTTTAAGGCCCCTGCCTTGACTTCCCCATTGTGATGGACCTGGAACCGGGAGCTGTAACCTAGATAAAGCCTTTCTTCATTAAGTTCTTCTTACCAAGCTCTTTTAAACAGCAACAGAAAGGAAGCTGAAACATCACGGAAACACAGAAGTTGGAGCGTGGGGACTGGCCTGGACAGTGGAGGGGGTGGGGGTCACAGGTAAGGACTGGACTGGGACGGTTCTTACTAGAGAGGCTGGGGGTGACCCTATATGTAAAATAAGAAGTCGATGGAGAACCATCCTGGGAACTCTCAAGCCAATGAAACTCTGTGGCCAGAAATGGCAAACAAAGTAGAGAGGCCGAGGGTGGGAATTAAGAAAACGGGAGCTGAAAACAATAAAAAGAGGCCCGGAGCTCCTCCTGAAATAGCTCTGTTCACAGCACTGGGCGCCACGAGGACAAAGCCTGGGCTTCAGCTGGACTTAAGGATCAGGATAGAATAACAAAGGGAAACAGGTTTAAGATGCGATTATGATGCCACTGGATACAGGATGTGAAATAGAAGGAGGCACCTGAGGTAATCCTGGGTTCCACAGCAACTTCCTGGTAGGTACCTGGTTATGAGTAACTGCCGTGCTGATGAGGGAGAGGCAGCTCTGAGGAGAAAGGGCGATTCCCCCCCGGCAAATGATGAGTTTGCAGTTCTTAAGGGACAGCCAGGAAGACTGAATTGTCCTGCAGATACTCGGAAATGCAGGCCACACGCCACCATCCAGTGGATGCATTTCGGAGCCCTGCACACACGGAGTCACCAGCCTGGAGCAAAGGACCCCAGAGGAAGTGTATGCAGGCCTAAGACTGAACCTGGGAGATTATCACACCCACAGAGCAGGCTACTGAGTGAAAGGCAATCTGCATGATCAGTGTCGGTGAAGGTGTGTCTGCAGAGGTGGAGGAAGAGGAGAAACTGAGGACAGGGTGGGTGGTGAGACCCACAGAGAAGAGACACATGAGCGGGAGCTGTGGCTGGGGAAGCAGGCGGGTGACAGGAGAGGTTTTTGGAGCAGAGGGTCGTTGACATGTGTGACAGACATAGAAAAGGAGCCAGAGAAAGAGGCAGGGTTGACAGCTAAGGAGGGGGTGGTACTCACAGAGAACTGACTTCCAAGGAGGGACCAGGGATGTTAAGTGCCAGGGCGGCCTCCAAAGAGCCAGGGCTCTTCTTCCCCCAAGGTTGAGAAAAAGCAGGAAGGATGGAGGAGGAGCTGGGCAAGGAATGGAGTTGTTGAGCAACAAAAACCAATCCTACTCGCAGTATGTGTGTGTATGTGTGTGTGTGTGTGTCTGTCTGTGTGTATGAGAGAGTGTGTGTGCGCATGTGTGTGTGTATGAGAGAGTGTGTGTGTCAGTGTGTGTCTATGTCTGTGTGTGTGCATGAGAGAGAGTGTATGACTGTGCGTGTCTCTCTCTGTGTGTGTCTGTGTGTGTGTGAGAGAGAAAGCACACACATTAGTTACTTTCTTCATCCCTGTGACAAAACACTCAGCGAAAGCAGCTTAAGGAAGGGAGAGCTTATTTGGCTCACAGTTTGAGGGACACAGTCCATCATGGTGGGAAGGAGTCTAAGGAAGCGGGTCAGCTTACATCATTAGTCAAGAGCTGCTGGTGTCCAGCTCTCTTTCTCTTTTTATTTAGTCCATGGGATGGTGCCACCCACATTTAGGATGGGGCTTCCTACCTTTATTAAGCCAATCTCGAACCCCCTCATAGACAGCAGTTCAGCTCCTGGGTGATTTTAGATCCTGTCCATTTGACAGTGGAGATTAACCAACATGGTGTGTGTGTGCACGGTCCTGTGTGTAGGTGCAGGTGTGTGGAGGCCAGAGGACAAGCTTGGGTATTGTTCTTCAGGAGCCACCCATCTTGTGTTTGGAGACAGTCTGTCACTAATTAGGTTAGGCTGGCTGGCCTTCTTGTCTCTGCTTTCCCAGGACCGAGATTACAAGGGAGCACCATCACACTGCCTCTTTACCTGCAGATTCTGGGGATGGAACCCAGGAGCCCTCGCTCAAAGGGTAAGCTCAAAACTAAGGAACCGGTTCCCTCTATGTCCCAACCGGGGGCTTCTCTTCCTAAAGACAAGGGCAGCGTCTTTGATTTCTTTTCCCACCAGTCCTGAGTGAATGGGTCATGAGTGGGTGTGGTCCTGCTGGTAACTTGACCTTTGACTCCCGTCAAGTTCAAGAAGCCGAGTTCTAAAAGCAAAGCGTGTTCTGGGCTCAGCATCTCCTGGGAGCCGGGCTTTTTATTTTTACTGAGGTAAGCTGTGTTGACCCGACACATTTCACAAGCCATACTATAAAGAAGGTAGAAAAACAAAAACAAAAACAAAAACAAAAAAAAAACCCGAACTACAGCTGGGAAGTAGCTACTTAGTGGAAAGAAATGAAGCTTTTCATTTAAAAAATATTTATTTATTTGAGACATGGTTTTTCTGTGTAGCCCAAGTTCTCTACAATCCTTCTTCCTCAGCTCTCAGAGTGCTGTGATTACAGTCTGAGAAAGGATAAAAGAGAGGAGTGAGAAACCAGACTCTTTTCTTCCCTGTCTCGAGTGCCGTCGTCTTCAGAGTCATACTGAGCTGGAAGGTCCCAGGGTGGACATTTGGTACCTTTGTTCACTAGGCATGATTGCAGTCTCTGCCGGTCACAGCAGGGTGTACAGAACACTGCTCCTCCTAAACATGGCTGAATGAAGCCATGAGCCACCACGAACCCAGATTGGACTGACCTCACAGACTGGACTACATGTTTGACACGGATTTGCCAGAAAATCTTTTCCGTACCACCAGCAATTCCTTTGCTGACACTCACAGGATTTAAAGCTCACCATCTCCTTTCTTGGGACGTGGTTATAGCCTGTCTAGCATGTGATAGGACTCTAGCTTTCCGTCATGCCATGGAGATGTTGATGCTCACCTGTGTCTCATCTCTGAGTTCTGGAGAGGGCTCAGGAGGTAAAGCATCTACTGTGTAAAGGTGAAGAACAGTCTGGACCCGCAACACCCGTGTACAAAGGACAGAAGAGCATCTGTAAAGCTGGCCCTGGGTGGGCTGGAGGCAGGTGGTTCCGAAGGACTCACTGGCCAGTCTTCTAGTCCACTCAGTGGTCTTCAGGTTTAGTCCAGTTGATCATCTCTCTGTCTCAAAGAATAAGGTAGAGTGGCTAGAGACACGGCTTAAAGGTTAATGGCACTTGTTGATCTTACAGAGGACCTGGGTTTGGTTCCCATCACCCACATGTTGACTCACACCCATCCATAACTCTAGTTCCAGGGGATCTGATGTCTTCTTCTGACCTCTGCTCGCACCAAGCACACGCGTGGTACACAGACATACAGGCAGGCAAAACATAACATAACAAAACAAAAGGGTGGAGAATGATAGAGGTGACACCTGACATCCACCTCTGGTCGTCACATGAGCATGCACATACACATTCCTACACGCATATGCAGATACACTGAAAAACATACGTGTAACATAAACGTGTGTCCACAATACACACAAGCAAATTTTAAGTTCTTAGAAAGTACGAACTGTGACTGATTCACCTTCATGTTCCTATCTCATCAAACAGATTATACTGAATAAATAATTGTTCTTCAATAAATTCACTGCCCATCGTGTCGTGAGTTGCTGAACCTTTCTAAGCTTCAACCTTCTGCCTAAGAGATGAGGAAGTCAAATTGTTTGTTTGCTTGTTGGTTTGTTTTTAGAGACAGGGTTTTTCTGAGTAATAGCCCTGGCTGTCCTGAGACTTGCTCTGTAGACCAAGCTGGCCTCAAACTCAGAGATTCACCTGCCTCTGCCTCCCAAGTGCTGTGATCAAAGGCGTGTGCCATCACCACGTGGCTTCATGCTTCAAATATTTTAGGATTCTGTTTCCAATACTGACTCCATGTATCCTAGAATCTGATTCACCAGAGGTTATCAAGTCTTTGTTTAACCCTCTGTTTGGACATAATAGATTTAGAACTGGAAATCCAAACTGAGAAGCAAAAATAACCTATATGAAAATAGCTCTGAATAGGATGTTACAGGTAGTGACTTGGTAATTGTGTGGCCAACACTAAAGATTCGAGGACAAGCAGGAGGCAAGTGCCATAGTACCAGCTTGGGCAGGGTGTCATTGGGACTCCTCCTCCATGGCTCAGGATGTTCTGGGAAGGTCAGCACTTTAAATCTCGTCTAACCTCAGCTAATGGCTGCTGGGGTGAAAGTGGACTCAGTGGTTAGACTTTTTCCACAGGGAACAAAAGAGGTCTGGGACCATTAAACTGACATTGGGGCAATTCGAAAGAGCTGGTCTGGGGAGCCAGGGAACATGGCTGGGCATCAGGGCAGACATGACCAGTGTGGGCTGCAGGCCAGCTCTGTGCCTGTAAGCAAGGGATATAAATGTGGTGAGATAGGGCAGTCAGGAGGAAAGGGACTGAGGGCCTGCAGCTGAGAGAGAGCACACTGCTCATGAGCTCTGCAGGGGGTGGGGAGCGTGTGTGTGTGTGTGTGTGTGTGTGTGTGTGTGTGTGTGTGTGTGTGTATGTGTGTGTGTGTGTATGTGTGTGTGTCATCACCAAGGCTAGAAAGAGAGTAAGAAATTCTCTTTACAGTGTGTAAAAGTTCCCAGCATGCTGGGCAAGGGAATGAGCAAATGGCTGCACAGGGGCGTGTGTGCCCAGTTTTTCCAGCGCCCACAGAATGGGAGCTCATGCCCCCTCCTTCCCTCAGACGCTGCCGAGAACCCCAAGGAAGCCATTTGGGGTTGGGCCGGTTGCTGCTCTGGGCCCTAATTACTATGTAATCATTCACTTTCATCACAGCCCGGAAGCCCAGGAGGGACACATTGGGAATTCTGAGTGTGGAGACAGAGATCAGGAGACCGCGCAGGCAGGGACCTTATCCTTGTGGCTCTGGTCTTTCACTGTCAGGAGAGCTGTGTGCAACTTCCTCATGCCTTTCAGATTTTTTTTTTCCCCAAAGAAAAAGCGCAAGTTTGTTTTTCAGGTTTTGCCAAATGTAACCTCAATGCTGACTGTGCCTGGCAGTGTGAACAGTGTAGCCAGGTATAATCAGGGCCCAGCTTCAGACGATTGGGCAGACCCACAGTCCCTGATCCCAGGCTGCAGTGTTTTTGTGGGATGGACTTCTGGTGGATGCATATTTGCTTTCATGTACTTGCATGCATAGCTGCATGAATGTGTAACTGTATGCATGCATACCTTTGTGCATGTGTACATGCATGTAAGTCTGTAGGAATTCATGCATGTCTGTATGCATGCATATCTGTGTACATGCATATTTTAGTATGTGTGTATCTTCATGTATGTATACCTATATGCATGTGTAGCTGTATGCATATGTACCTGCCTGCATGCGTATGTGGGTGCATTTATATCTGGGTTCATGTGGCCCTGAGTACAGGAAGGCACACTGATAACTGTTGGAAATGCTTTTCTCATTCCCAACAATCCTCCCTATATCATGGTGTCAAGGTTTCACCACAATCAGCCCAGGATGGAAGAGTGGAAGCCATGAAGTCAATTTCCTTCCCAAAGCCCAGCTCATCTGCGGCCCTGTTGCCAGGAAGAAAGAACCTCAGAGATGAGAACCCAGGAGCAAACCAGGAAGGGACTTTCTCTGGCTGTCTGAACTCCCCCACCCTGCCTGGGGCAAAGTGTCTTAATCCTTAGCAACATCAAGGAAGTGTGCTCAGCTGGCCCAGGGCTTGCCTGGGGCTCAGTTCCCCCGAGGCACTGTTGAAGCACCCAGTACTGAAGGCTTGTGCTCTCTAGTTTATTTCAACTGGGAGGCAAGTTCTTTGCATTTCTGAAAATACTTCCATTCAAGCCCAGGTCAAACTAGAGACATTGAAATTATGAAGACCACTGACCGAGTCCTAGGACCCATCAACTTATAGTTGTCATTCTAATATTTTTGTGCATATTTGATGCTGGGGATCTAAGCTTCATGCACGTACTCCACCAATGGAGCCACATCGCTCTCCTTAACAACAGCTTTCTGATCAATACTTTATTTATTGAGTGATCCTCTCTGGTAGAGATGCTCTTCATTCAGGAGCTGGTCATGACTGATATGGAAGATGGAAGTGAAAGTGATGATTAATTGCAGTGGATGGAGTGTTTGCTCAGCCCTGCCTCTCCCTTGAGACTGTCCTCCAGGTGACAGAATCGTAAGGACGAGCCTTTGGAAGTGATTAGGTTATGAGTGTGGAGCCCTGACCAAAGGATTGGCACCCTTGTGGAAAAACACCCAGAGAGACCTTTACTCCTTGTTCTATGTGAAGTCACAATGAGAAAATGCCTCTGTGGCCTGGAAAGAAGGTCTTTGCTGGACTCCAAATGTCCTGGACTTCTGATCTGAGACTTCTAGCCTTCAGAACTATGAGCGATAAATATCTGTTGTCTGTAAGTCACCAACTCCATGGTGTTTTGTTATAGCAGCCTGGATGGGATGATACTAACTGCTGAGACCATGGTGAAGAGCTTCATACCTCCCTTCTGAGGAGACATGGCGAAAGTTCCAGGAAAAAGGAAGGATAGCTTGTACACAAGACCTGAGGCGAGAAGGAAGACCAAAGCAGTTCCAGGAAGCTCTAGGAAGTCAGTAGTGCTAGGAAGTAGAGGAGGGGAGGTAAGAGGTCAGGTCAGAGGTCAGGGTATGAGTGAAGCTCGGTTATGTGGTCATATGTGAAGTACGGGGTGACATGCCCCTCAGTCATGAGACAATGGCTCTGGTCCTGTACAGAAGATGGTGGAGGCCTGAGGTGGAAGAGGAGCCCGGGAGGGAAGGAGTGGGGCAGATGTGGCAGGAAGGCAAATCGGTAGCAACCTGAGAGATGGCTAAGTGTGAAGGATGTGGTCAGGGTCTGCGAGGGCTGCCAGCTGTTCCTGTGCAGCCTACTGCGTGCTGGACAGGATGCCAGTGATAGCATTGCTGCTTAAGAGCAGCTGTGAGTGAGAGTCAGTCACTTCAAGCCATGGAGACAAAGCAAGGGGCTGATTCAAGGGCCTCTCACCACTGAGTCATGTGGCCCGGGGGCCTCCTGTGGCGGCTACCTGGGAGGCTCTGTTTCTGAGCTTCAGGCTTCCACTCCTTCCGCAACTGTCCTGGTCAATGAGCCAGGCCTGTGGATTGAAATCTCTTGAAGCCATGGGCTCAAGTGAATCTTTGCCCTCTTAAGAGAATGTCAAGTATTTTGTCAGAGCACCGATGACGAGTCCTACACGGTGTTTATGTTTCCCGTGTGTCTGCTCAACATCTTTGTACTTCCTTGATTAAATCATACTGGCCATGCTTTGCTCTGCTTCATTTGTCTGCTGCTAATGGACACAGCACAGTGTCAGGTATAGAAACAGTGAGGAATACACATGTGATGAGAGGCAGACGTACTCACCAAAGGGTGAGGGTCTGTTCGCGGGAGACCGGCTCCACACAGACCAGTCTCTGGAACCGGTCCCTGAAGCCAGGCTGAAACACATCTAGTTCATTTGAGCACAAAGCACAAACCCAGCTTCATAGATCTCTCTCTCTCTCTCTCTCTCTCTCTCTCTCTCTCTCTCTCTCTCTCTCTCTCTCCCTCTCTCTGTCAATCTCCATGACTGACTTAAAGATGGACTCTAATGAATCGTGGTCATGCTGAAAGCACGAAGTAGGTAGAATTCTTGTAGGAAGCATCATGGGAAAGAAATTTAAATGCGGAGTAAACATGGAAGGTTGAGGACAATAAAGGAGCTAACTGGAAATTTCCCAGGGTCCCCCACTTCAGTAATGGAGACCCCATCTGGTTTGAAGCAGAATCTCTGGGCTACTCTCCTCCTCTCACTTTATCCCCTCACCCCAGACCTTTATCGAATTCTCTGGACTTTGCCTAATGTCTCTCATCCTTCTTGGAAGCCTGAGAAGATAATGGTACCCAGACCACAGGGAATAAAACATCTTCAGAGGCTGAGTATCGGTCGCCTTCCTTAGGACGGGCTGATGTCTCTCCTTGGACAGTAGAAGACTGGACTCCCACCCCCACAAAACATAAACTCCCAGGCTCTGAGCTTCCTGGGTCCAAATGAGCCATAGTCTCCCAGACTTGGTGAGCTGGAGCCTGAGAGCCCTGGTGTGGTCACGTTGAGAGGTGAGGGAATCTTGAAGGGGTACAACTTACCCGGAGGTGAATGGAAGACATGGAGTTTTAGCGTCAGCAGGGATTAACGTCGATCTTAAGGGATCTCGATAAAGGGTTATCAAATAGAAGAACAAGACCAGCCTCTTCGCTGTCCGACTCTGTCTTGCATTTGATCGCTCCCTTTGAGATGCATGCCTGCCGTGACGTGACACAGCCAGTGGATCCAGGAAGGACGAGGCCACCTAACTTTGGACTTTCAGCCTGCAGAGCCGTGAGCTAGAGAAACTTCTTTATATATAAAGCAGCAAGCTTCAGGTGTTTTGTTATGACAGTGGAAGACAAATTATAAAGCCAGTAAGATCCAATGGGGAAAATATTAGGAAGGGACTTGTGTATGTTTCTTGTGAATTTGTTTGTCTAGGAGAAGCTATGTAGGGGTAAGGGCTAGAGGATGGTAATAGATTGGGAGGTCA